CAGCCTTGAATCGATCAGTTGCTGTTTTAGAGCTGCTTGCCTCAGAAGGCATCAGCTATTCATGTCATCGTGTTTTTTTATAGATTGGAAGAAGTTAAGAGATTGCATGACATTCTGTTCTTAGAATGCTGAATGGATACTATATGCTAATTGCATTTGAGTCAAATAACATTTTTCCTCAAAAAACGTGTCCAAGAAAAGACATCTACTATTAAAGCCAAATTACCAGTAGTCCACTACATACTGTGATGAAACAAATGTGTTTTAATATGAGAGCTCCCAGGGAAGAAAACCAGCTGAAGTGCAGTCAGCACATGAACTCCAAACAACTCATTTACAGCATACATGAAACTAAGAACTGACAGTATGCATGCAGAGAAGTAACTCCTCCTTATCAGCTAACTATATAATGCAGACACCCTGGCAATTACAGAGAGAAGCTCTGCCTGGTACTGAAAGAAATGAATGAGGCTTCAGAATTATGCTTTGCACGGCACTTATTAAGACAAAATCGCAACATGGTAAACATGATGTTAAATATTAAATAAAGTCAAAATATGTCAATGTTTCTTAAATTTCGGGGGTTGATTTTTTAATTTTTTATTAAAACAAACCTATTTTTTCACTTTTTCTTATTTTCATGTAGTTGATCCACCTCGAGATCAAGCCAGCCATAAGGAATCAGATCATCAGAGAGTTGCAGGTGCTGCATGAATGTAACTCTCCCTACATAGTGGGCTTCTACGGGGCTTTCTACAGTGATGGAGAGATCAGCATATGTATGGAGAACATGGTACTGTGTCCTCTCTTGGTGTCAAACATAATACAGAGGAAAATGAGAGTTTTCTCTAAATATATTAAGTTCAGTAGTTTACGGTCATAAGATTTGAATGATTTTATTTGTCAAGGATCCATCAAATTTATTCAAACTGACAGTAAATATTTCTATTTCAAATAAATGCTGTTCTTTTTACTTTCTATTCATCAAAGAATCCTGAGAAAGAAAAAAAGGTAACGCTTCCTTTTACAGTCCTGTTACCCATGTACTTACTATGTACTTATTATAGTAACTATAATTACTGGGTAATAACTAGGTACTAACCCTGAACCTACCCCTAACCCATGTATTTACCTTATATTAGCCAGTACTTTCTAGGTAAGTACACTGTAAGTACACGTAAGTACTGTACTGTAAAAGGAAGCGTTACCGAAAAAAAGTATCATGGTTTCATTGATACCAAATATTAAGCAGCACAACTGTTTTCAACATTTATAATAATAAGAAAAGTTTCTTGAGCACCAAATCAGCATGTTAGAATGATATTTGAAGGATCATGTGACGCTGAAGACTGGAGTAACGATGCTAAAAATTAAGCTTTGACATCACAGGAATAAATTACATTTTAAAATATATTAAAATTGAAAACAGTTATTTTAAATTGGAATAGTATTTCACAATATTACTGTTTTTGCTGTATTTTGGTATCAAATAATGCAGCCTTGATGAGCATAAGAGACATATACATATATATATATATATATATATAGTTCAATATCCTTTCAGTATCTCTTCACTGCCTTTGCTTTTATAGGTACTATATAAGAGTAACTGCTGAATATATCTCCATCGAATTTTTTTTTTTTTTAGGATGGCGGCTCCCTGGATCAGTCCCTGAAGAAAGCAGGCAAGATCCCAGAACAAATCCTGGGCAAAGTTAGCATTGCGGTCAGTATCTCTGTAACCTATCTCAAAAATATCCTCGATCTCTGGTGGACTGTTTCCAAAAAAATAAGGCTGAAGTACAATGCTTAATGTTTCTGGACCTGTTTTCTTTCCATTCATGCAGGTGATAAAAGGCCTGTCCTACCTGCGGGAGAAACACAAGATCATGCACAGAGGTGATTGGTGGCACGCTATCTCAAACGGTCATCTTTTCATTTACTCTTTCTGTTGACAGTATTTACTGAAGGGAAGACCCCTTCCTTTTCTTGCAGATGTTAAACCATCCAACATCCTGGTGAACTCGCGTGGTGAGATCAAGCTGTGTGACTTTGGTGTGAGTGGACAACTCATTGACTCCATGGCCAATTCGTTTGTGGGCACCAGGTCCTATATGTCTGTAAGTTTTCATTCTCAGCAAAAATAAATAAATAAATAAATAAATAAATAAATAAATAAATATATATATATATATATATATATATATATATATATATATATATATATATATATATATATATATATATATATATATAAGAAATATAATATATATTTAATATATTATATTTTTTATTTCTACTACATAATTAGGTTCTAGATCATTTGACATTGTGATTATTTCCTGGATATTTAATTTGGAGTATCTCAGAGCAGCCATCTGTTTGTTCAGGCTCCTGTTTTTCATCATGTCTCTTCCTGTATGATAATGTTAATTTCCTCTCTGTATGGTCCTGTTCCCTATTTTTCTGTGTCCATCTGTAGCCTGAACGTCTTCAAGGGACTCACTATTCTGTCCAGTCTGACATATGGAGCATGGGTCTCTCTCTGGTGGAGATGGCCATTGGACGCTTCCCTATCCCACCACCTGATTCCAAGGAACTGGAGCAAATCTTTGGCCAGCCCCTCGAGGGTGACCCCTCCGCCAGCGAGGCCTCCCCTAAACCCAGGCCCCCTGGTCGACCCGGCGGGTGTGAGTGGCTGTTTACCATCCTATCTGCAAGAACATGTACAAACTGATCAATTATGTTTAAGGTGTTTCTGACTATAAAACTTTTACTTGTATCTGTTTGTCCTGTCAGCATACGGTCCAGACAGCAGACCTCCGATGGCTATATTTGAGCTGCTTGACTATATTGTCAATGAGGTAAGTTTAAAGTGGTGCTTATAAGACCACTAAACAGCTTTATGGCAGTGAATTAATTAAAGTGCGGATTAATTGGCTGCTTCGCTTAGGCTTAATGGAGCATTTTTCCTTTTTCAGCCACCTCCTAAGCTACCAAGCATCTTTGGTGCAGAATTTCAAGACTTTGTTAACAAATGGTAAGCAAAAACAATGTTATTTGCATTTAGTTTCATTCGTGTAACTCATCTATTAGAGCACGACACTATGGGTTCGATTTCCAGGCAACTAGGATACTTACAAAATGCAGTGCACTGAAAGCTGCTTTGGATAAAAGCATATTCTGATCCAAATGCACAAATGCTTCTTCAGTGGAGCTTGCTGCTCCATCTGGTGGTTGAACTAAAAAACTGTTTGAAATCTGTTGCCGTTCTACAGAGCCCCTAAATGGACATGGAAAAAATATATATGGGAGATTTGCTCTCAAAAGTATTGTTACTTCGAGAAACGTTTTGCATTCCATCTCATTTTTTCTATCACCAATTTTGACATTTTTCTTTATTTCTCAATGTTTTTACTTAGTTTAATCAAAAATCCAGCAGAAAGAGCAGATCTCAAGCAACTGATGGTAGGAACAATCCTTTTCTGTCAGTCCTCATATACAGATATTATTTTCTATTGCAAGTATGCACCTCATACATCTAAAATAATTGTCTGTTTCAGGTCCATGCCTTCATAAAGACCTCTGAGGCAGAGGAGGTTGACTTTGCTGGATGGCTATGCAGCACCATTGGGCTAAACCAGCCAGCAACTCCAACTCACAGTGTGGGAATGTGAGCTGTGCCATCTTTTTCTAAGCCAACCATTTAGTGTTTCTTCACACACACATCTCCAGTTCCACCCTGAGGCCAAGAGTAAACTGCCATCTCCTGAATCCACCTGTCTTTTTTTTTTTTTTTTTTTTAAATGTTGTCTTGAGTATTAACAAGCATACTGCTGTAATTAACAATGCATCAAACCTGATAGGGCGCTTGAAATCTGTTGTCAAATACTGGTTGGTTGTTAAACGCTTTGATCAAGGAGTTTTTTTTTTTGTTTAAATCAATGTAATTTTGATTGCAAAAGCTATCAAAAGGCTGATACACTGCGCAGGAACTTAATTGCAAAGGATCCCCCTCTAAACATGGACTTATGATATACTTTACATTTTCAGCTATCCCTGAAGTGGTTACATCATTTCATTGTTATATTTTGTGTTCTGCTTTATTTCAATATGGTGAATGTGCAGTCTTTAACTCACAAAGTGTGAGAAAAAAAAGTCATTTAACTTATATATTATAATAAGAGATTTATTTAACAAATGACAACTGATTGAATGTGGCAGTGCTTAAGTGGTATGCAGTGGATTAAAAAGGACAGATTTATCAATTTTCAACAGTTGTTTTATTTGAAAAGCATTTGTGAACTCCACAGTCTGTTTATGAGCCCTAAGCTTGAGCCGGAGCCGGAGCAACTGCAGGCTTCTGGGCCTTGGTCTTCTTCACAACCCTCTTCTTCTTGGGTTTCAGCATCTTGGCCTTGATCTGCACAGAGTTCAAAGGTTTAGAAATTGCTCAGCTAGTGATTAGACAAGAGACTTGGTCATGAGGGAACTTACATCAGGGTTGTGTTCCAGGATAGCACGGCGACGTGCAGTCTTGGCGTAGGGGTTGAGCTTCAACATCACTCTCAGGTTCTTCAGAGGGTTCTTCTTGAACACTCTGCGATTAATTTTGCGGCTGCAATAAAAAAAAAAAAAAGTTACTTCACTTGTACAGTAAGCCTTTGTGATTGAAAGCAAGATGGCTCAGAACTTCCAATACAATCAGTAGTCAGAAACACGGACCAGAAGTAGGAATCTCATCATTGCAATATGTTGGTAAAATGACAGTCAAAGTAACCAAAACTTACTTAGCAGGACGAAGTGCCTTCTGGACTTCCTCACTCTTGATGATTCTGTGCAGATCTGTGGTGTTCATTTTGTGCATGGGCAAGCTGGAACATGACAAGGCAGTAAGTCCACAAGCTTGTGTTCAATATCTACAAATAAATATATATATATATATATATACACACACATGTTGCGCATTTGAACAAGTGGGGATTCAGACCACCACATGTTGACTCAGAACTTATAATGTTATCATTGTGTTCAAAAACACGGACTAAGTACATGTTCATCACTGTTGTACAAAGCACAACCAGAAAAGGATAAGACAAAAGGTTAAGGGAACTCACTTGTAGTCAACTTTAAGGGAGGAAGCTTTGCGCCAAGTGCCATACAGGTTATCCAGCTTGCGGAAGGCACCCTCGGTCCAAATGCAAAAGCGTCCGATGTGTCCACCTGGAGCAAGCTTTAACAGGTCCAGTCTGCTCACGGACTGCAGTGTGACGCCTGAGAAAAGATACCCTTGTTGTTAATGATTTAAAACCATCTAGACACAAACAAAATTGTGTTCAATTAGTCAGAACTTCCACTAAGATCATATAATTCATAAACACGGACCTAGAAGTGGACCTCATCATGTATTAAGTGTGTTAATGAGAAGCAAATGTCAAATACAAGATCACTTTGCGTACCAGGGATGTTTCTGAAAGCTCGTGTCACACCGTTGTCTTCATTGTAGATGATGCATGGTCCTTTACGCTGGATACGCCTTCGGTTCCTCATCTTACCCTTACCGGCACGCATACGCTGAGAAGCATAAACCTGGAGACCAGAAATATGCATTAAAAATATTTAATTGTGGTAAACTGCAACATTTTCAGTCAATATCAATAGTTTGAGTAGCTCACCTTCTTGATGTCATTCCATGCCTTAAGTTTCTTCAAGAGAAGCACAGCTTCCTTAGTCTTCTTGTATCCTTCAACTTTATCATCAACGACAACTGGGACTTCAGGAATCTCCTCAATGCGGTGACCTGAAACATTTGAAAGGGGAAAACCAAATAGTTTTGATTTGACCCTTCTGCAAACTGAGGATTCTTTTGCACTGAATTGAGCAGAATGCTCAAGCATTATGAAGCACTTGTTCACTCACCTTTTGCCAAGACCAGGGCAGGCAGAGCAGAAGCAGCCAGGGCAGAGCAGATGGCGTAACGCTTCTGGTTAACATTGATCCTGCGGTGCCAACGGCGCCAGGTCTTTGTGGGGGCAAACATGCGGCCACCACGACACATCTACAGTGGAGTCAAGGGTCAACATTTCACACTAAACAACTGTTTACACCAAACGCATGTTCACACCAGAGCAAAATCGTTAACATCTTTCAGACCAACACAAACATTTGCATGTTGTCAAAAAAAAATAAAAAATAAAGAACAACACGCAGAAAACTGCAATGTACGATCTGCGCTTTTGGTCAAATGCCCAGACCAGCTGCTGTAACAATACTATGAAAGTCCTACAGAAAGTCACAGTACTTGGTGAATGTGCTTTTCTATAAGGCCACTTATTTACATGTTCATTCAGCCCATCTATCGCTTTTTTGTTGGTGTGAACAGACCTTAATAACTAAATATATATGTAAACTTGCTCAGACTCAGAATATTCGTCAACCTTCCACACCAGCATGAGACAGCAGGCAACTGTCGCTGTGCGTAGAGTCGGACGCAAATTACACCATCACAGCAAGGGTTGCTTACAATCAAAGATTCGACAAGTTCTTCCAAGTAAATAGCGAGTTAGTTCAGGATACATTTCCGAAAGCACCCTGTCCGGAGCGGTGGGTACCACCACCGCGCACACGGGGGATACGGGCCACGGCTCTTCCTGTGCCCCAGGATTCGGCGCTGGTCTGGTGACCTGAAATGACACATCTTTTGGAGTTATATTTGATCACATCATAACACAGTGAAATATGTCAAAAATAGACCAAGTCTCATCAGAACTTCCATCATAATCAGTTGTCAGAAACACGGACCGAAGTGGAATATCATCATTGAAGAAACGTTTTTTTAACTCTGTGGATTTACACAACACTCACCGGCCTGTTCGCTTACAGCATAGGGCTGGCGCTTGTTCTTGCGCATGTTGGTGTGCACAAAGTTCACAACATCAGGGCGGATGGGAGCCCTGAACACTGCAGGCATAACCACATTTTTGCCGGTTGTCTCCCCTTTCTCGGAGTAGACCGATACTAACGGTCGGGCGCAAGCCTAAAACAAAAAAGACGTATGAATAACTTCCATATATTTCCAGGTTTATTCATTAGTTTGAGCTTTTAATCTTGCTCAGTCTTAGTTTTCATCAACCTCCTGTGCCAGCATGAGACAGCAGGCTACTGTCACTGATCACAGAGTAGGACGCAAATTACACCATCATAGCAAGAGTACCATTTGTTAGGAAAAATAAAATAAACCAATAAATACAGTGATAAATGATGTGTTTTAAGTAATAGTTCAGTCTTTCAGACAAATTGTCGTTTTAAAGTGAACGATCCCTTTAATACTTGTCCATGCTACCCAAAATTAAAGCGTCTGCGCTCAAATAAAACTAGGCCACAACACGCAAATTGACGTTTCCAACAATGTTCTTACGTTGTCAACTTGGCTGTTAAATTCTACTTGGATCACAAACTGGAGTTCTATAAGAGAATAAATATGTGTTCTTTATAAGCACGTCTGAATATTGGAGTCAGCTGCCAAATCATGACTACTACACGTGTATACATGCCGCACTGGATCAAAATGGCTGCCGAGATTCGCTGTAATGCGAGCATAATAGCTAACGCCTAACATTTCACCCAAAAAACAACTCATCATGACCTACATGCACGCAAAACAATGAAATTAAGAATCTTTATTGAAAAAAGGCATTCATTGTGCTCACCATTATAGTAAGTTTTCACGGCACGCCAGGAACCACGCTCCTAACTCGATGGCGGCCACGGAAGAAAAGGAAGAATGAAGCACTACACAGGCACTTGCATATCCATCCGACTCACGTCACTTCCGCCCAAGTCAGTGGTTTCATTTTAGCCAATATCTTATTTTATTAATATTACCTAGATTTAATATAAAAATATATATTTTTTATAAAATCATTTTGAATAATTTATTATTTATTGACAATGAATTGCAATAAGATAACTGCGATAAAATAATAAACGTGGCAGTATATATTTCGGCACTATTTTTAAGTAGTGGAAGCTGGCGGATGGGTCATATGGAACTACTTTCAATAATTGTGTAAAATATTTATAAACGTTTGGATTTTTTTTAGTATTTAATATATTGCATTTAAGATGAAAAATAGTATTGAATTTTATTTTTTAAAAATCGTTTTGTTGTTGAAGATTCATTTTTAACAACAATAGGCGTGGCAAAAAGACGTCTGCGTGACTGCGTCTTAACCCCTGGTGACGTACATTTGGCGCGCTGTAATCAAATCGTTTTTCATCAAAAGTTTTTCATTCAAACGGGGAGCATTTTTTTTATCACATCTTTTATTTTACATTTGTTTTCAAACGAAGGGAATGGGATCCAAACTAGTTTCCGACGCAAACGCTTTTGTTAAATTTCTCAAGTGAGTAATTGTCGTTATATTTTCTACTGTGATTAAACTTGAATAACAGTTAACTTAACTGTCAGGTCTGTCATGTTTTACTACGTACAGTATATGTTATTTATGTAATTCACATGTTTAACTCATATTTCTTTCCTTGCCTGTTTTAGGTTATGTCAAGATGAAAGTAAAGACAACTGCACGTATATGGTAAAATTAATTTGGATGCATATGTATAGAGAAGATGCTCAGTCACTTGTGTTGAAAATAAGTTGTTTGTTTGTTTCAGGATGATATTTCAGTACTGCTGGTGGAGAAGGAAGAGCTTTTACACAGCATAATCAGTGGAAATCAGCCTGTCTTTGTCTGTGAGAAAGCAGTAAGTCAGTTTGTGATTGCCCCCTATATACACACATTATGTGCCATTCCTATTTAAAGTAAACATTACATAATTTGTAAACTTATTTTATCAAAAGCAACCAAAGTGTGAAGCAGCATCTACAGAAACTTCAGCTGACACCAGTGTTGTTGAAGAGATACTTTATAAAGTGGAACAAGATCTGGGGCCTCAGCCTCTCTCTGTCATGAAAGCAAGGTAAAAGAAGCGGCTTGTTGCAATATAGTATAATTTAAACTAGCATTGTGATTATGAATAATCATAACTCACTTTCTTCAACCAGGCAGCTGCTTTCGTGGTACACCATGGCTCATAACCCCAACATGCCCCAAGTGGAAGTCCCAGGCACTTTGCACCCTCTCTGGGTCCGTTGTGACAAGTCTGACCCATGTGCCAGTGCCTGGCTTGGAGTAGAAACTGTCTACAGTGGGAACAAAACCAGTGGTGTCAAACTGTATACAGTCTGCTGCAAAGGTAATAGCACTCATTACTCGTGTATTACGTTATGGATCCAATCCAGTAATTTTACCTATAAGATTATTCTTTGTAAAGAGAAAAAACCTTCTCTTATTTCCCAATTTCCTGCAGGTCCCGCAGGAGATGAAACCTCTTTCACCACATTGGATGAGCTTAAACAAGAGCATCAGAATAGACACCATCCTTCTACAGTAAAATAAAATATATTTTCTGTATAACTCCTATAGGTATTAGATATCTATTAAACCTAATTATCAGATTTTTTTTTCCAGGTGGCGACCAAAGGCTATGCACAGTTCAACATGTTTTGCTCCTTGAAAGAAGAAAGCATGATGTTTGAATCTCAAAGCAGTGTAATAGCGAGTCTGACATGGAATAATGTGGACAAAGTCTTGGAATGTCCTCCCTTGTCTTCTAAAGCAACTCTGGTCAGCACCTATGCCGCATTCATTTCCCTGTGACACTTTAGTCATTTAGTTTTGTTTATACTGTATATTGGGGTTCTTAGTTTTTTGTTTGGTTTGATATTACAGAATATCAAAGTCTCAGTTGGAGACATAAGAAGTCCATTGTATCAGACCCACAGAGAGATGGAGTTCCTTCTGGTAAGGAATTATTTTAATATTATTTATATACTATTATAGGGTTTATTTACATAGCCGAGTTGCAGTAGGTTTGTTATAGATGGAAAAAATTATTACTCTAATATATAAGTACTTACAATGTAATAATGATATCATTAAGCAATTTAATGTCATTATTTTTATTTTATTTTGAATAGGCTCTGGCAGAGGGTTTGAGAACAGGAGAAACTGAATGGTTGGAACCAATGGAGACTCAGTCTGCAGTGGACAGGACCAGAGCACTTATAGAGGGTAAATGCAGTGAGATTGATCTGTGTGATATGAATACCCAGCTGCAGTAAGAAGCAGCAAATAGATATGAATGCTGCTGATTTTCTCTGTCAGTTTTGGCTTTTTTTTATTTTTTATTTTTTTTATAGTGTGTGACGTTTGAGGGAGATGGATTATTATGTTTATTATGTTTTTTTTATTTTAGAACTTGAGAACCTTGCTCATGGAGTACCAGGACACACTGCCAAACTTTCTGAGGTAAATTGATAATATAATAATCAGGGGCGGATTTACCTCATATTGTGAGATAGGCTAAATTAATTTTCAGGCCCCCCCTGCATTTTTTTAAATAATTAAAAACAGTGTTGTCAAAGTTATGGCGTTATATATGATCATATATTGCATGTGTCATTATATTATTAACATTTGACCAAAATCAAGCTCAAATTAAGTTCTGAAGTTTTTGAGCAGTGAATGTCGCATTTTCATTAGAAAGGCCACATCTGAGAGGCAGTAAGTGCATCATCAACTTACAGGTTATGAAGTTAATTGTAGCTGTTGCTGTTTTTCTGTCATTTGGCCAAAATCTCATGTCATAAAAGATGAAGTGCTTCGCACAGGCTTTTTAAGAGTATTGGCTGTGACTCGACATCAAATGCTAGACCAAGACACTCTTCTCCGCTCCTCAAATACATAAAACATTAGCCTTTATATGTATGTATGTGTGTATATATATACTTTATTTACCTTTGCATTGCAAATAAGCAGAGACGGTCCAAAAATGTGTGTAGCACTTCATTCAAAATTGAGGTGGGGTGGAGTTATGAGTGTTTACTGACAATTTAAAGCTACAATATGTAATTCTTTTCGCCGTTAGGGGTCGCTAAACTCCTACAATAACAAAGGCGTAGGTTGATGACGCATAAGCGTAATTATGGAACTTGTCGTCAAGCTTATGGATCTAATAATGTTTATGGCTGAGTGAATACATTGATGTTTTTAACTTGACTGTGGTATGAAGCAGGTCATGATTGCTAATGAGAGACAGATATCAGCGCCACACGCTAGTCCCGCGGATATAAAGGAATAAGGACATTTAATTCTACCGAACTAACCCACAAGTGCTGAATTACTCACACAGGTCAGTTTATTTGACGAATTGAAATTGTGAGGTAACGCAGCGCTGTTTCACTTGGTCTACACTATCATATTAAGCTGCATTTGAGTGTGTTGAAAGTTTTAATCTTATTCTATGTGTTAGTTTGTTGGCTGTATGTGACTAGCAGTAATCTAGATCAACATTAGAATAACATACTGATCATATTCTAACATTTCATCATGTTGAGCTATATAACATTGTTTTGTTTTATGTACATTTGCTCACCTGTCTAATAAAGTACATGCAAGAGCGGTGTCTCTGTCAAGTCGAAGATAGCCGCGGATGTGGAGCTCTCGGCATCGCGAAAACGCCATGCCGATATTGATCCCGTCTGCTTGCCATGGTCTATAATGTTTGAACGAAACAACAACAGCGTGAGCGTGCTGCTAGACGTAACGCAGTTGTCCACATCTGTTGCCATGGTTACTATGGCAGTACAAGCGGAAACCAGGGATAACGCGGATATTTACGTCATTGACAGGCAGGGACGAGCCATTATTTAAAATTGGAGTTTCTCTGAAATTAAAAATATTTGGGAACTTTTGGGATATTGTAAGTACACAACTGCAGGAAATATATCACACTGTGATTTTTGGATATTTTATTACAAAAATCTTACATATTGTACCTTTAAGGATCAAATGGGTGACCAATTGTAATGATTTATGAAAAAAAAAACCCAAAATATGGAGATTCAAGGTTTCTACCCGACAGTTTCTACCCGATTATTGTTCAAAAATTCTCCTTTTGTGTTCCACTGAAGAAGGAAAGTCATATGTATCTTAACGACATCAGTGAGAAAATAATGACAGAATTTTTATTAATGGATGAACTATCCCTTTAATCTTTTGTAACAGAAACAGAAAGCTAAGACGGATGCTGCTGCAGTTTTCAGCTCGATGGTAATTGAGAGAGGAGACCTGGATTTTACTGAACAACTGTGGGAGAAGATGAGGAGGAGTAAATATTAGCATTGCAACATTTCACAAACACAGCAAAACAATTTCACTGTAACTAAATGAATTACAATTTTTTTTTCTCTCATAGGTGTAACTTCATATCAAGACATAACAGAATGCCTGAAAATTGTTGTCAAAGCAGTGAAACTTGGTAAAATCAAACCATGGGTGTGTGCAACTGCATTATGCATAAATGCATTAAAGATATTTTTTGGTTAAACATTGTGAATTTTTTAAAAATGGTATGTAATGAGTGTATTTTCCCCCTTAGATCCACAAAGACAGCAATAGCACTCTCAGTAAGTTGATCCTGCAGTCGTACCAGCAGCAGATAGACACCATGCCTCTCACTGGCCTCACACCTGCTAATATGCTGCTGGAGTTGGGCCTGGACAAGATCAGGAAAGACTTCATCAACTACCTTGTTGGTACACTAACTTTCAAATTTTAAATGTAGCTCTTTGGTTTATAGTTCACTTCATATGCTAATTAGCTACATAAGAAAGTTGTTAATTTTTAGATGCTCAAAAATACTTTGAGAAGCAGACTAAAAGACTTGATTCTGACTTTATTCTTTGTTTAGGAAAGGAACTTACAACTCTGAACTATTTGGTAGGAAACACGTTTTCTTTTTTTTTATTAATTTAAAAAAAAAGATTTTGGTCGATATTAATATTATGGTGCTGGAGTGGTTGATGTATTTTATCTCATATTTTCAGAGTTACTACCTGGACACTGATGTTGACCTGCAGGAGCAGGTGATACGAGTGAGGAAACTGCACCACCTGCTGGAGATCCTGGGCACCTGCAGTACTTTTCTCAGTCTTCCTCATGACCGCCTTTTCCTTTTCACTCAGTGAGCTTCCTGCCCTTTCCCTGAATTATATATTAATCAAATGGTGATTCAAAATGTACATAAGTAATATATCATTCCATTTTTCACAGGAAATTGTGGTTTATGATTTAGGATGCATCAGAGAACACTGCAGTGCATTGCAAGATATTTAAATAGAGAGAAAAATCTCATTTCAGTTGCTGGGTCTTGGTAAACGTGTTCTAACCATGATATTTGATGTCAGGTCCTGTTTGCAGTACTATAAAACATCCAACTATGACGAGGACCACGTCTTCCAGTTGCAAATTAAGCCTGCCCTCATTAGCTACTTTTATGAAAAGTGAGTTGATGCTGCATTTCTTATGAGCTGTCATATTGTCTCTGCATTACTTTCAGTGCTGGGGTGTAATTGATTATATGTAATACAGATTATGTAATCAGATTCCAAAAATGAAAAATCATTCAGAATACAGTTCCATTTTCATTGATTATATGATTACTTAATATTCACAAAATGGCAGTGAATTATTCAGAGTTCATTGAATCTTTTTAATCTTTTAAATTTACTTTCTCAAAAGTTTTATGGAATTGCACCAATTGCACACACAGACTGGCCACAAGTCAGGCGACTAATTACATGGAAACAGCATAAACAAATAAAATATTTAGTGTTTTATTTGAATTGTTTTTATGTTCAAATTATTTATTAATTATGATTTAATTATTAACTTTTAATACATTTCTGAACCTCGAGTTCCTTCCCAAACCCTAGTTAGAGAAACCCTGAAGTAATGTATTGTTTATTGCACTTCATGTTGTTGATAACAAAAAATGTAATCATTTTCTTTTTCTTTGATTTGAAAAGTATAATATTGTATCATATTGATTAAATATATAATGTTATATGAATAAGTGAGGTCAAAAGTAATCTAAAAGTAGTCAGATTATATTACATAAAATGTGTAATGAATCATCTAATTTATATTTGGTAATAGACTACAATTTGTAAGTAATCTGCCCAGCATTGATTACTTTGCCATTTGATGTAGGATGTACTGAACACTGTAATGACATTTAGAAGTGTGAATTCATGTTGGTTTATGTTATTCTCTCAGGGAGCAGCCATTCTCTTGGGGCATGGAGGTGTCCAGTGGACAGGGGTCTAAGGAAGTCAAGACAGCATTGTACCTCAGTGACAAGCCCCTAGTAGACCACATCTGTTTTGACTTAGGTGAAGTCACCGGCAGGGTTTTTATTATTATTTTTTATTAATTTTTTTTGCCAGTTTCATATCTTTTGTTTTTGAGTTTGTTGAAAACGAAAAGAAATATGACATTTAAACTAATCTTGTCACACATACATACAGATGTGCCCCTGGATGAGTCTGTCAATGGAGAGTGTGAGAAGATGTCTTACTACAGGGCCGTGGTGAGCTGTAGCCTCATCAGCTTCACTTAACACCGGTAAGACTCCATTTAATGGAAATGTACTCACAGAAAATGAAGTAGAAAAGAAATAAAGTTTGTATTCATTTATTTATTTTTTATTGCAGTAGTTTTAATTTGTCGCACTTATTGTGTACAATACTGTTCAAAAGTGTTTTTTTTAAATGTTTTTGAAAGAAGAGTCAAATGATCAGCAAGGCTGCATTTATTTGACAATACAGTGATAATGTGAAATATTGTTACAATTTAAAATAACTTTTTATTTAATATATTTTAAAACGTCATGGAAAAGCTGAATTTTCAGAAGCCATTACTCCAGCCTTCTGTCTTCTAATATGATCATTTGGTGCTCAAGAAACATTTCTTTTTATCATCACAGTTGAAAACAGACGTGCTGGTTAATATTTTTGCGGAAACGTGATACAATTTTTTTTGGATTCTCCGATGAATAGAAAGTTAAAAAAGAACAGCATTGATTTGAAATAGATATATTTTGTAACATTATTATACATGTATTTACTGACACTTTTGATTAATCATGCATCCTTGCTGAATAAAAATGATCAATTTCTTTCAAAACAATTTTTTTTTTAAAATCTGACCCCAAACTGTAGGAGGGTTGAACGAACGGTAGGGTTGAAGGCAACTGGTTTAGTCCACATAGAAATAATATCCAAAACTGAAAGACTATTTGCCTATATCATTTAGAGGTACACTATGTAACTTTTTGTTGTTGTTGTTCAAAATTAACTACATTTAAATAATGATTCAAAATCAATCCTTCCTCCAAAACATGTTTTTGTCTTACCCTGATTCACTAAAGTAAGCCTATTATAAATGTTTATATTTTAAACCTGTTGGGATGATTTTTGTGGTAAAATGTCTTGTCATATCCATAAATACAGAAAAGTCGCTCCAGCTACTTTGATGCGTGTGTGGTGTGGAACAAACGGAACAGAACAAACTGGAATCAAAGAACAAACAGTTTACAATTAGTCCATAACAATTAACCTTTTATGAGCAGTAGGATAACCATATTCATCCGCACAGTCCCGCAGAGTCGAAGCACAACCAAAACAATGTTTTTCTGCAAAATGCATGCAGTTTTGTTTTTGAACTGCTTGAGGGCCAAAAGTTATAGTGTACCTTTAAATTCAGCATAGTATCCTTAACCTCAGCGTACCTGCCTGCAAAGAGTATTAAATGAGAAACAGGGGCTGAATTCTTATAAAAAAAGTGAGCTAATTGCGTTTGCGCAGCAGGAACATGAGAAACACAGCGCTGATCAAAATGCAGAGGGTGCACACCGTGGGAACCACAACCTCAGTCACCATCTCCATGTGGCTGGTTAAAGGATCTGAAACATATACACACAAACATGTTTATCAGCCCAAACATGTTAGCACAGCCCAGTCTTCACATTGCTTTTGCATAACAGAGCACTCAAAGGGTTAATATAGTTCTCTTCTAGCTGTGCTGTTAGTGTGTGATGGCTTACCATGAATAAGTCTTAGAATATTGGCAGCTGTATTCCGCTGTTCCTCTAATGAAGAGAGAGAAATAATCTTAGGATGTCATCAGGGCACATTAACCCTTTGAGGGCCGCTGTGTAAGCTCACATTAAAGCAGCACAATTCAGTCAACTGGGTTATAAGAAAAGACGTCATCCACATCAAGCATCCTTGACATTTATTCGTTTATAAACCGGCTGTTTTTTTTTTTAAGATTATACATCACATACAGTATGAAGCATTTCAGTTTGAAATATGAATGAGCAAAGTTCAGATTAAAAAGATTTTGAAATCTCAATAATCAGATGATTTTTTTTTTGCTGATAATATATAAAAACCTCAGCAAAACAAGCTAAAGCAGCAGTGAGTTCATCAACATTTATGTTCCATATAGTCCACAATTGGCTCCTGATGAAAACTTGTGCAACAGTCAGGTTCCGCACGTAAAAATCCTATTAATTTTCTCCATATAGTAACTGATTTTTCCGATAACCTTTAAAGACAGACCTATTGTGAGCTACGAGATTATTAATTGATGGTGTATAATGTTATATGTTTTTGTCTGAGTCATCAGCCCACATTATTTCAACTTATTTCTTTAACAAATCACTTTTAACAGCGTAATTCATGGTGAAAAAATATATTACTCTGGATTCTGTGGAAAAAAAACTTCACCAATCATAGAATTGAAACAAAATAATAGCGTCAGTCTCCCAATGCTTTATTAGGTACACCTTGCTAGTATCGGGTTGGACCCCCTTTGCCTTTAGAACTGCCTTAATTCTTCATGGCACAGATTCAACAAGGTTCTAGAAACATTCCTCAGAGATTTTGGTCCATATTGACATGAGCATCACACAGTTGCTGCAGATTTGTCGGCTCCACATCCATGATGTGAATTTCTCGTTCCACCACATCCCAAAGCTGCTCTATTGGATTGAGATCTAGTGACTGTGGAAGCCATTTGAGTACAGTGAACTCATTTCAAAGTTCAAGAAACCAGTTTAAGATGATCTGAGCTTTGTGACATGTCACATTATCCAGCTGGAAGTAGCCATCAGAAGATGGAGACACCGTGGTCATAAAGGGATGGACATGGACAGCAACAATAATCAAGTAGACTGTGGCGTTTAAATGATGTTCAGTTGGTACTAAGGGACCCAAAGTGAGCCAAGAAATGATCCTTCTCACCATTACACCACCAGCAGCCTGAACCATTGATACAAGGCAGGATGGATCCATGCTTTCATGTTGTCGCCAGATTCTGATTCTCTCATCTGAATGTCAGAGCAGAAGTCAATACTCATCAGACCCCGCAATGTTTTTCCAATCTTCTATTATCCAATTTACGGGGCTGCAGTGGCTCAGTGGTTCATGTAGGTTGTCTACAAACCGGAAGGTTGGTGGTTCAATCCCCGGTTCCACCTGACCAAGTGTTGAGGTGTCCATGAGCAAGACACCTAACCCCACCTGCTCCCGACGAGCTGGATGGCCTTGCATGGCAGACACCGCCGTCGGTGTATGAATGAGTGTATGAATGAGTGAGTGAATGGGTGAATGTAAGGCAATATGTAAAGCGCTTTGTTGGCCATTGGGTCTGTGAAAGCGCTATATAAATGCAGTCCATTTACCATTTACCAATTTTGGTGAGGCTGTGCATTGGGTGAGCCTCAGTTTCCTGTTCTTATTTGACAGGATTGGCATCCAGTGTGTTGTTCTGCTGCTGTAGCCCATTTGCTTCAAGGTTTGGTGTGTTGCGGGTTCAGAGATGCTCTTCTGCAGACCTCGGTTGTTACGAGTGATTATTTGAGTTAGGCCGTGTGTCCACCATAGCGTTTTTCCACAGGCCTGGCGTATGTTTTCAATTGTTTTCAATGGGAGCGCCGCATTTTTAGAACGCCATGAGCGTAACGAGGCGCTGGAGGTTTTTTTCATGCTGAAGCGCTGAGAGCTCGGCGTTTTTACTGGTCGCCGAGAGTTGAAAAATGTTCAACTTTGGATAAAACGCAGCGCTCATCACTGTCACTTTTACCCAGCCGTCCAATCACAGTGGAGGAGGGGCGGGACTAATACCACACCGACCAACTGTCACAACATTCTTTCTGTACAACGACATCAACCAGCAGAGCTAAACGAACAAAATGGATGAAAAATAAATTTTCAGTATGAAACTAATTATCTGCGAAATCAGTTACAAGTAAACTGTGCTGCGGATATTCTGTATCATAGCAACGAAACGTCTCAACGGAAAAAACGCTGTGCTGCCAAAACGCTCTCAAGTGCCCACAGCTAGGCGTTTTCAGCAGAGAAAAACGCTTTGGTGGACACACGGCCTTAGTGTTGCTTCTCTATCAGCTCGAACCAGTCTGGTCATTCTCCTCTGACCTCTGGTATCAACATGGCATTTTCGCCCACAGAACTGCCGCTCACTGAATATTTTCTCTTTTTCGGCCCATTCTCTGTAAATCCTAGAGATGGTTGTGTGTGAAAATCCCAGTAGATCAGCAGTTTCTAAAATACTCAGACCAGCCCGTCTGGCACTAACAACCATGCCACATTCAAAGTCACTTAAATCACTTTTCTTCCCCATTCTGATGCTTAGTTTGAACTCTTGCTGCCATGTGATTGGCTGAATAGATATTTGCGTCAACAAGCAGTTGAACAGGTGTACCTAATAAAGTGTATTAACTACTGCATATTTTGCAAAAAACGTAAAATATGGTTTCTACATACATAATCAACATTTCTTTGTTGTTAAAAGCCGTTAAGACTTGTGCCTTTTGTCTTTTGGTCTTCTCTTTCAAATACTTTTTTTGTTTCAAATCAAATTTGTGATTTACCTCATTGCTGGTTGGTTTGGTCGATGACTTATAATAATGAAAAAAGGTTTCTCAGTGCACTACTCCTTTAATGTTCATGTACTTCAATAGCTGATCTGGCTTTTTCTATATGTTGGCATTTAATTAAGATATAGCCTCTGAAGATTTAAGATATTTCAGCTTCTTAAGATTAGAGCAGGCCAGAACTGGAGTTGCTTAATGTTCTTTTTATCCAACTACACCACAAAATCATTTTGAGTTTTTTTTAACGACATTGTCGGAAGTTTGCCAAGCCAAAAAGCAAAGAAAGAAGTTTTTTCTTTACCCTAGTGTCTAAACTTCATCATGCACTGGCCAAACCTTTGGCATCTCTGCATGATCTTTATTTTCCTTGGATTTTTCATCTAGCTGGAGGGGCAAACAAAGAAAAATCCTGTTAGAGGTTTCAGCTCAGTCTCTGTTTCAGACCTCCCCAAAAGCCTTTGTCGATCCATTCTCATGGTAAGCATACCGGGTCCCTATGGACACTAGCGGCTAAGTAGAAACCTTGTCAAACCACAAATGAGGTTAGCATAATAAAACAGTGGAGATCCAGATGAAGACAAGGAATGTTCTCATGCACTGTTCAAGGGGAATTTGTACCCATTGAATTTGTTCTTGATTAAAGGCTACACGATTATTCCTTTTAGCCTGTGGTCAACAAATGGAATTTTTCCTTGTTTGCCCTGGTTCAACTAAGTTAGAATCAATGATCCACTGACCTGCAGCCAGGAGCTGATTGCTGGTGGAGCAAGTCTCGGTAGCTTTCCTCTTCCAGTTCTCAACCTGCCGATGATGATGATGATGATGATGATTCAGAGCATATGGTCATTGTCTCATTTAGTCATACTGTTTTCTTACAGATGGAGGTTTGCACAGATGGACACTCCTTTCAAGATTCTATTCTGATTCTTCTACTCTAATCTGTCCTTTAATGTGGTATTTAACGTGGCTGTTTAATTTGGTTAATTACACCACCTTTAATACATAATTTTATATAAAATTGTTTATATAATCTGTTGTTTTGTATCATCTGAAAATAAACATTTGGAACATGTCCAAGGCAATGAGTTGGAGTTTGTTCAATAAACAGGAAAATAATTAGAAAAAAACATTTATATGGTAATTACATTCTAATCTTGGGAGTTCTCCAACAATGAGGTTGTTGCCTTATTCCTCCTAAACAGCTATTTAATTGGAAAACGTTCTCTGCAAACATTTCATCGACTCTAAATAGCATGTTTCAGTACCAAAACAGATGCTCTAATCCAAAATGTTAGTACAAGATGGCAGTCAAACAATCTGGAGCAGAATCAGTTCATTTAAAATGTTAATTAGCACTTTCCTTAAAAATAACTTTTATTATTCAAATGTGAGTGTGTGGTATAACAATTTTTCGTGTGTTTATGATTTAACGAGTGTTCTTGTAATGTATAAAACTGATATTTAATGTTAAAAGCCAAAACATAAAAAGAAGAAATTGCAACTTTTATATGCCTTCATAACTAGGTAATTATAACCTCCATTCTTTTCTATTTAACACATAATGAACAGATGAAATATTAGATGTTACCTCTCTTTGATTGGGAAATCCATTAGAATTAATGACGCGTTTGTAGAACTGAACAGAGGCTTTGGGGTAGCGAGGTTTATTTTTGTTCTTGAAGTCTACGTAGTACAGGCCGAACCTCTCTGAGTAGCCCTCATCCCACTCAAACTTGTCTAGCAGGGACCAGGCGGTGTAGCCCTTCACATTTACTCCATCCCTGATAGCTGCAGGATAACAATAAATAAGATATAATGATAATTCTGTTCACATTTACTCACCATCATGTTGTTGCAACACAAAAAAATAAATTTTGAAAAATGTCAAATGTTTGAAAAAAATTTTGTTTTGTTCATACAATGTAAGTCAGTGGGGTCCAATATTGTTTTGAACCCCATTGACGTTCATTATATGGAGAAAAACAGTATATATGAGTATATACTTTTGTGTTCAGAAAGAAAGCCATACTGGTTTGGAACAACATGAAGGCAAGTAACTGATGAGGAAGTTCATCCATTCATTGATTAGTTACCTTTGAGCATCTCATTGATGTAATCCTTGTAATACTGAATCCTCCAGTCATCACACAGTTCTGTGCACATCATCTTTTCTGAGACCCCGTTCTCAGTGATGAAGATCATGGGGTTCCCATATTGAGTCTTAAGTCAAAGAGCATAAGTCAAGAGTTTAAAGACCTGATTATATTTGATCTTATCATACATATACAAATTTCCTTGTAGTATTCTTGACATGATACTGTCACAAAGACATTAGTAATAAAGAAATATTTATGATTGAAACAAGATCAAGATTCATCATGGCTTTTAAAGACTGCCTTTGTGCACCTTTATAAAGTTGAGCAGACGGCGAAAGCCCCAAGGAACCGAGTAAAGCCACTCTGAACCAGGATCAGGCCAACGTGGGTCGACCAGCTCCGCTATATCCCGATCTGAGAAGTAGGTGCCATGTTTGAAAGGGAAGCTCTTTTGGGTGACGTAGCGTGTCGTGAAGTGTCCCACGCCTAGGAAGTCACAGGTGCCTTTGATGTAACTCTTCTCCTGAGAGGAAAAGGAGGGAAGGCGAGACGTTCTCAAGCCCTGCTGTGTGCTTTTCCTCCCTTGGATACAAAACTGGCATTAATATGCTGAATTTTGCCATTCTTGACCTCACATATTCAACCAACATCTACTTTGCAACAGTACCTATGAAATCCTTCATCACTTGAGGATAATCTCCATGGAAGATGGGTGTAGCAAACCAGCCTATGTAAAACTGCACATATCTCTCAGCAGCCTCAATGTCCTTCTGGTTAGTGATGTCCACAGGCTCTCCCCAGTCCCCATACAGTGAAATACCCACCATACCTAGAGAAGAAAGCAGCCACAGGGGTCAGAGGGTGTCATTTTTGATAAACTAGCAGACATTTGTAAGCTCTTACCTCTTTGTTTGCTTCGCCACTGAGAATCGTAAGTGTGCCACACCTTAGCATGTGCCTGTTATAAAACCAACACAAACAGTATTGCATATGTCTCCATTTTGAAATACTATGGTGCAATATTCTGCCAAGGGAATGATGTTACCTTAATGATGTGGTGAGCTGCTCTGTAGGCCCCCATGCCCCCGAGCTTCAGTCCTGGAGCATGTTCTCCAGTTTCATATCCTTCCACCGCCACTGACTGACACACATTGAGCACATTAATAAGCATATCCTTTACACATTTATTTAATTTGCTGGCATTAAGTAAAGATGTGTAGAGTGAGCATACCCATGGGTTATTAAAAGTTATCCAGTATTTCACACGGTCCCCATATCGTTCAAAGCAAAGGTTGGCAAAATCATTGAAATAATGAATCATGCTGATGTTCTGCCATCCACCATATTTCTCTTGCAAAACCTGTCCAAATGTACAGACATGATGATAAATGATAAAACTTTCCAAAAGGGTTACAGAGCAATCTATTACATCGGGCAATGCAGTGGATAGGTTACATTTAATTCATTAAATGTGTATATTTTTACTTGCCAAAACTTGACAGATATCGTTGAAAGATCTGTCAAAAATTAATCAAATTGACTCCTGATGAACTGACTGTAGGTTAAATGCTGTATTGACGTTTCGCAAATGAAAACATGGATGTCAGGACAGACGAGAACAGTAAGGTGTGGTCACATACATTAGTGAAATTTCTGTGCTTTTCAAGGGCAAAAAAGGTCCTTTAGACTGAGCATGTAATGATGTCACCCTCTTCTTAAATTCTTGTTTTTGTAGTTTTCACAGAGACTGTAACAGTATAGTTTTCCAAAAACTTGCACTTTGAATCACATATTAAAAAGTTTGCCTTGTCCTATAAATGAATGGCCAAAACGCATAAAAGGTTTTCAGTTTTTAGTTGAAAATGATGCCGTGAAAATGGTCCCTAAGCCACTTTTTACACCAAGCAGCTTTTTGGTCAATGTGGGGAATCCGTGACCAACTTTGCATTCGCGCTCATGTGGAACTCCCGATCGCACTGATTCGCCCACGAAATTTAATTGAGAAACGGTAAATGTGAGCATATCTTAAAACGTAAATTTATGTTTACACAACAATGATGTACTAAAAAAGGAAAAGTTTTTCCTTTGAGTTTTTCACCTACAGACGACAACGTTGTCAAAACGATCCTGTTCACACGGATCCGCGAAAACGACTAAAAATGCTGTATTATATTGCCAGGCCAGTAGTTGGCGATGTCACTCTGTAAAGAACAGAGAGTGAACATGTAATACACATGAGCATGACGTCACCGTTTTCACAAATTCATAGTTTACACAGAGACTATAACTTGTAAGTACTTGCACTTTGAATCCAGTTGAATTTTCAGGCCCCCAAAACAGTTGTTGCGTAAATGAAAGGCCACAATGCATAAAAAGTTTTCCGGTTTTAGTTGGTTTACACCTCAATTTCTGAGAAGATTTTGCGGGCAAAAAAAGGTCAATTTTGTAGCGAGGATTGAAGGAAGTCAATGTCAAACAAAGTTTCTAAACACAAGTGAAATAGACTTTTTTTGTCCTCACGTAAAACTCCCAATCGCGCAGATTCCTTGATTTCGGCCACGAAATTTGCCATCACGTCAAATTTTACAACATGTTTTCTGGGGTTTTTGTAACCAGGCATTATTATTATTAGGCATTGAAATATTAGTATTCAATGGCCCGTCAGCCGAACATTTAATAAAGTCAAAGTACTATAGAGCCCATTGAACAGGAGGTACATGCCTCGTTTTTATTTGCAAAAAAATTAAATATGCCGTTTAAGATCTATTCATTAAAAGAGAGGTTAAAGAAATCATACCATATGATATTAAGCACAATGTTAATAATGGATATATGCAGGAGTACACACCTGTGGCAGGTCCCAATGATACAGGGTCACAATGGGAGTGATACTATTTTCAAGCAGCTCATTAATAAGAACATCATAATACTTCAGGCCTTTCTCATTCACATGGTCAGCTGTAAACACACAAAAGTGGAAGTCAAATTTAATGGGAATTTATTCACATCAAATGTCCTACCTGGAGGCAGCAGTACAGATACTTACACTTGATACCAGTTGGCATGATCCTGGGCCAGGAGATGGAGAACCGATAATGATTCAGATTCAGCTCTTTCATCAACAAAATGTCATCCTATACAAGAAAATGAAGCAAAAAGTTGTTGCATTTCACAGCTGGGACATTTCGTAGTGAATCAGCATGACAAGAAGCAACATGGGCACCTTGATTTTGTAGTATCCATCACACGAAGAGTCTCCAGTATCATTCAAGAACGTCTTTCCCTTCTTATGAGTGAACACATCCCAGATGCTCAGTCCTTTCCCATCTTTGTCCCAGGCTCCTTCTGTCTGATAGGCTGAACCGCCGGCTCCCCACGAAAATCCTGACAAATGAAGCAAAACAGTGAGGAACACGTCTTAAACATTCTTTCACATGGAGTCTTATTAGTCATTTTACTTCTTTAACTTTTATTATTGACATCCACGCAAATCTGTTGATTTCCCAAGAGCCTTTGTGGCTGAGGAAAAGGGATCCGTACGGTATTGGTAGGATCATACCATTTGGAAAAGTGCCATAATAGAAGGAGTCGTGGTTGTTCGCTGACCAGTCGAAGTCCTCAGCCGCAGACAGACACAACACCAGCACAAGCACATGACACACTCGTCCAACACGGTGTGACAGCATCATATTCCAGCGCTCAGCGACTCTCTTCAGCACCACACTCTCCTGATCTGAGAGGTAGTTACCCTTTCACAAGACATGATTCAATGAATCACTATGACTGGAAACAACGTCTTTTGCCTAGTAATCAATTGTCAAACCTCATACTGTTGATTTAAACATACCTCTCACAGAATCTGCATTGATCCCTGATGGAAATGCCTTTAAAATCGATGAGAACTATCCTGGGGTTTGAAAGTTGACGTACAAAATCTGTTACTGTTCAGCCTGGGTGGCAAAGCACTGTGCTGGACTAAAGGTGGTCCCATGACCTCAATGTAGACCCATAAGCCTTCCTATTGAGGGTCAATGGACTGTGATCACATTTTGCAACGGTGGACAGATCTCTTATAAACGAGGGTTTCACTCTGTAAGCAAAGTTAATGTTGGAGAGGCTGACACTCTTGTGTTTACTATAACAATGACAGCATATGGTGGGATAAATTGACCCAAAATATTACACAGCAGGTATCTAGGATCTTATTCTTACTCCAATATTATTATTATTATTCTATAACCCGAAAGTGAAAACTGTCACATCATTTACTCAACCTCATGCCGTTCCAAACCCGTAAGACTTTCGTTCATCTTCTGAACACAAGTGAAGATCTTTTTGATGAAATCTGAGAGCTTTCTGTCCCTCCATTGGCAGCTACACAACTGAGAATTTGACACTTCAAAAAGTGCATAAAGAGATCGTAAAACTAATCCATATGAATTGAGCTGTTTAGGCCAAATTTTCTGAAGAGACTTGACCACTTTATACGATGAACAGATTGAATTTTGGCTTTTATTCACATATAAACATTGATCACTGAACATGAACAGAAGCTCAACCGAACCTGCTTGACGCGCGAGAACGAACGTCTTGCTGAAGCTTATGTGCTGCGTCACACACGAGAATGAACCTCATTGGTTCTCGCATGTCAAGCGAACATGCTTAAAGGGATACTCCACCCGAAAATGAAAATTCTGTCATCATTTACTCACCCTCAAGTTGTTGCAAACCTGTATGAGTTTCTTTCTTCAGCTGAACACAAAGGAAGATATTTTGAAGAACGATTGTACCCAAACGGTTGTTTGGCACCATTGACTTGCCAAAGTTCCAATCGTTCTTCAAAATATCTTCCTTTGTGTTCAGCAGAAGAAAGAAACTCATACAGGTTTGCAACAACTCGAGGGGGAGTAAATGATGACAGAATTTTCATTTTTGGGTGGAGTATCCCTTTAAGCTTCCGTTTACCACATCTGATGTGCGAGTTGATAAATGTTTATATGTGAATAAAAGCCTAAATTCAATCTGTTCATCATATAAAGCAATCTAATCTCTACTAAACTGCTCAATTCATATGGATTACTTTTACGATCTCTTTATGAACTTTTTGAAGCATCAAAGCGGTAGTTGTGTAGCTGTCAATGGAAAGACCGAAAGCTTAGATTTCATCAAAAAGATCTTCATTTGTGTTCTGAAGATGAACGAAAGTCTTGGGGGTTTGGAACGACATGAGGGTCAGAATTTTCTTTTTTGGGTGAACTATCCCTTTAACTTTTATTTTCCATTGAAAAATTGTGCCATCATCTGTAAGTAGCCGATTTATATATTTGTGGCATCATTTTTCTCCAGAGCTGCCCTCGCTCTTTTTGTGAAGCGTAGCACATTGTTAACAGGTGTTTAGAAAATACTGAATGCTGGTAGTGTTTTTACTGCATTGCAGGTTCATGTGGCAGAAGTCTGTACCTTCTTATATCATTATTACTGGCCAACAGAGGAAATGCGGCTGTCTGATCATCATACTCGCCTTTATTAGCATGTACCAAGGGGTTAATGTAAAAATGTCATTCACACATCATACATTTACATCAAGGCAACACCAAAACACCAAACCAAACAATCTGCATCACTCCAGGTCTATTACGCTGAGCACCTTCAAAATCCGCAGAAAAGAGGTTTTTCTCTAAGAAAACATAGAAACTCTCTGTACATTAACAATGAAGTACAAAAAAGTTATAATACTGGCTCAGCTAGAACAATTGTCATGCCCATGCATACACAACCTATTCCACACACTCAGTCTAAATAGAAAAAATACCTCTGCAAGTTCACAACATGAACATGTACATACATAATACTTATCATCAGCTTCATAATCATAATGCATTCAATCTGAAATCAATACAATACAATATTAAATAAAGCCTATACAGTACAGCATCACTTGGTAAACACCATGAAATAGGATTGGTGCAATCTTTAATTTATATGTATTTAGAAATACATAAAGTGCAGGCTTGGCCAACAGCACAGTTATAGGAGGAGTTCTATTTGTGCTACACATATTTCTGGAGGATTTTATAGATGGTGAACCAACAGTTTATCTAACGCAACACCAATCTAAGACAGAGAGAGCCAGTTACAGTCTCTTTCAGCATGCCAAATGTGCAGATAACACACCTAAACACGGGAGTAAATGATAATGCTCTCTTTGCAGGCACAGTCAGTAGTCGTCGTTGTCTTCTTCCTCGTCTTCTAGCACCATATCGAGATCATCATCTGCATCATCGTCATCGTCCTCTTCCTCCTCGTCGTCTTCTTCCATGTCATAGTCTGTTTGAGCACCCAATACTAGTTTGGTCTGGTTGATCTCGGTCTCATCATCCAGGTTGACTTCCACCTATGCAGTAACAAATATAAATGTAATAAGAAAAAGACCTGAAAGATATAAAGGTCCTCATATTTAAAATAATAGTTCACCCACACTGCCATTCAAAAGTTTGGGGTCAGTAAGATTTCTTTTGTGTGTTTCTAAACTAAGTCTTATGCTCACCCAGCTAGCATTTATTTACAGTAAAACAGGTATATTATGAAATATTATTACAATTTAAAATAAATGTGTTCTGTTTTAATATATGAAATTTATTCCTGTGATGGCAAAGCTGAATTTTCAGCATCATTACTCCAGTCTTCAGTGTCACATGATCCTTCAGAAATCATTCTAATATGCTGATTTCGTGCTTACAAAACTTTTCTTATTTTTATAAATTCAAAAGAACAGTATTTATTTAGAACAGAAATCTTTTGTAACATTATAGATGTCTGTACTGTAATTTTGATCAATTTAATGCATCCTATTTGTTTAAAACTGACATGTGTTTATTATTTATTTTACATACTGATTGTGTCATGTGATTGATAATGAGGCAGCAAGTTTGAATATACTTGACCACAAATGAGAATTTAAGAGTTGTATGGGTTACTCTTATGATGCTTCCCTTATGGTCACCGTGATTTTGCCAAGACATGGTCCTGGATCAACATATTTTGTTGATCCTGGATCAACAATCCTGTCCCAAAATGTAGTCCTTACCAATCCCTACCCCTAAACCTAACCCTACCCATAACTTTTCCCTAAAATCAGAGGGTAATGAAAGGTGAATGACACTGATGTGTAAGTACTTCACCCTGGTTCTAAGCCTTAAAGACCCACTCCGATGAAAATAATGTTTTTCTAGGTGTTAACATGTTCTTGTGGCATTTTTCTGATGTTAGAGGACATATCTTGAGAAAAATCAGCTCAAAGTTGTATTTCTGAGTATTTCTACATTCAAATGGCTGTGAATCAGTAGCAGACGCTAAAATGCTGGCTAAAATCGACTGGAGTTGTGACGTAGTAACTCCACTGGGCGTCTCCACACGCGACGTCTTGGAGTGAAATAATGATCGGTGATCGGTGATACCTTTGGATAATAATAATTAACGTGTATATAATACTGTTGCCCCACCGGTATTTGGGATGTAAGCTAGCGGGAGAGACAGAGCTCTCAGCAACGGGCAGGGGGAGGGTCGTCTCCGTGCCAACGGCTCCGCCCACAACGCAGAGGCGAATTGCTAATGAGCTACTGCCGCTCTGCTGAAGCGAAGTCCCAGAAAACGGCACAGGTTTTGTGATTTTGGCTAAAAATGGCATAATCATAATTTAAAGACCACTGGGAATGTTTAAAAATAGCTCAAAATATGATCGGAGTGGGACTTTAAAGCTGCAGTCCGTAGCTTTTTTTGGGTTAAAAATTATCCAAAATACATATTTGATAAAATACGTAACCAGCCAGTGTTCAAAACTCTCTGCTTGCCTTAGCTTGATTCAAAGCGGTAAGCTTGTAATAATGTTTTTAATTCCAGTGGTACTGGTGGATTTCCGCGGGAAATTCGAGCATGTCTTTGCGTCATTACGTCACATCCGTACACATAAAGAAGAGTCTCGGCTAGTAGGCTATATTGCGTGTGAGGATGCTGGAGGTGGAGATTTATAGCCTTTTCTCACAGCACTTGATATAATTAAACTTATCAATTTGATGGCGGATCCAGAAATATTCAAACGACGATCATCAGTGACAACTAGAGACTCACCCGCTGTAAAATGCAAAAGACTTTGTTCGGACTTCGGAGTTGCTACAGAAAAAAAAGAGACTGCAACCGGACCCATGCGAAAACAAGGATAATATCGGAAGGACATTACATGTAGTCACGCAATACTGACGTTGTTAACATTAACAATTTGAGAACAAAGTATAATTTGCACGGTTTTGCGTGAGATGATAACTTATAAGCAATTGTTAGATTTAATCAGCGCGATTTACTGTAATGTCAGAACCAGAACAAAAGTGAATGTTTCTTACTAGTTCAGATGACATTTTCCGGTGAAAATTCTTATGTTGGTCATATACCAAAAAGAATAATCTGTTATTCTGAATGCCAGTATCCACACCGGCACGGTGACTGACAGCTGCACAGCACACTCTCCTCAAACACTGTGTTCATCCGCGCGGTGCCGTGTCGAGGGTGTCGAGGTACAACTCACGTAAAGTTGATAATTCCGCGAATGACTGCAATTGCAGATTTCGAACAGAGATGGCGACAAAGAGGAAAAACGCCGGACTGCAGCTTTAACTTGACATAAACTATAAACTTGTCCCTCAAATCTGATTGGTTGATCGGAAAGTTGATCCAGGAACATGTGGTACTTGGTGAAATCACGTTCACCCTTCCCTTATGGAGCTTTGCAGTATAAATCACCATTCAGTTTCGTTGTGTAAAAAAAAGACCAATGGACATTCACGAAAGAAAGAAAAAGATAATAGCTTAAAACAACATTGATATAAAATATTTAACAAAAATATTTTATTCACTATAATTTACTTTTTTTTTTATAAAATATTCTTATTTTTGAGAGTACGACTCATTTGAAGTAAATCCTCAGTGTTTAAATAGTGAAC